ATGTATGTATGTATACATGTATGTATGTATATATGTATGTATGTATGTGTGTGTGTATGTGTATGTATGTAAGTATGTATATATGTATGTATGTATATATATATATATGTATATATATATATATATATATATTTATATATATATATATATATATACCTACATGTAAAAATAAAATCTACCTGTCCGTTTATTCAAAGTTCCCGTTCTACCAGGAGTATGACGCGCTCCACGATCATTTTGTACGTTTCAGTGTCCCCCATTAATCGCTTGAACTTGAGTCCGTGTATATTGACCATGGGCATGCGACAGACCTCTATCTCCCACTGCAAGTCCTGGAACACACACGTGAGAATAAAGTGCTCGGAATGCTCGCTGTTTCCGCTGTGTATGATCTTCATGCTAGACAATGCCTGTTGAAAGTTGTACAATATTGAGTTCAGTATACGAATTTTATATTTATACAAGGGTAGAGGGCAAGATATGGTGTATGTGCAATGTATGTGGAAGGGAAATACGAGGTATCTATTTGATTTAATAAGCGCGTGTGTGACTATATAAGTATGAATGACTAACTATCACGTATGTCGTCGAAAATGACATGTTGCCATGCAACCCTTCCATTTTCTTGCTGCTACCGTTGGCGAATGCGTGATTAGGTTTACGCTACACCTTGTGCGTTAAAGTGACAGTGAGTATTACACTGCTCCAAAACAGCGTGCGATCATATAAAATTGAATATGTATAGTCAACTCAGACAGACAGCAGTATATGCGAAAACAGAAATGTAAATTTATGCTAACACCCTCAAAGCTGTGCGAAGCTTCACGCCACCAGATCCGATTACACAGAGATTCGGCGTGCAGTCAATGGAGCACACATCCTTGCGATCATCTCGTTTACACAAAGCGACGAGACGAAAATCGTATACACCATACGGAAACACGGTTATAACACCAGACATACGTTCTGCACTATGTCGTATATCTCTTTTGCGGGTCGGTATGAAATAGTCCGGGAAATCAGCGACAGACGCGACACTCTTGCCGTCCGCTTATCTGTAGACCAAAAAGTGTTCCAATGTGAGCATATAGACAGTGCCGCCTTGGTGTTCTTTTGCTCCGCAATGCATGGTCCCAAGACTGTACGCGAACCCATCCGTAATCTCCGCTTTGCCCCAAGACAATCTAGTTGGTCCAAAAACTACACAGATGCAGTACAAACCCGCACGACTTTTGCTCCACAATCCACACAAGAGCTAATATTGGCATTAAAACCCCTTCCTTACGACTTCTTTTCGCCCTCGGTTGCTTGTGCTTGAAGCTGCTGCTGCTGCTCAAACCAGTGGGTGATTCGGGGATGGTGGTAGTGCTTTTTGGCGTGCCTACTGACGACATAGAGGTACGATATGATGTGTTGGCGGGTGGCTCTGGAGAATGGTCGGCGGACTTGTTGCCTTTGGTGGTGGTCACAGCGAGACCCCAATGACTGTTGTCAAGACTTGTCCCTATGTCCATGCCCAGTTCGGAAGCAAAGTTCTCCTGAGATTGGATGGATAGGGATAGCGGATTTTGGTGTTCAGGTGATAGGAGACGTGAATCTAAGCTAACAGGTCAAAATGACCGTGCGTGTGGTAGACTATATGATTTTAGGTACCAAAAATGCAGGTATGAATTTATTTCTGGATATGAAACGTGCCATATACCGCAGATATGAAGTAGACAGTCGATGCAAAGCCAACATAATTACAGCCGTGTACTTATGGAAGCGAACCCCAGCAAATTTGAGAAACAGGAGTATTTTCTAAGTCTCAGAGTGGAAAAAAAAACTCGAAGACGAATCAGCTAGCTTCAAACAGAGGCGGCGACACACCTTTTCGGTTTTTACTTTGATGCATTTTAAGTTGAGTAGGACGGTGTAGAGACGGCAGCAAATGCAACCTACCTCCCTACCTGAATGCGATATAGCCAGGAACGCCATCGCAACACGATACCGTATATCAGTATAGTTTGGGATAGCCTATAAATATCACAAGGACGTGCCAAGTCCGCTTACCATGCTTAGCTTGCGACCGTCGAGTGTGGTCACGTTCTGGATGGCCTGCTGAGATATGTCCCCTGAAGCAAATGCCTACGAGTGTACATTCAGTGTTCACATATTAGCTACGCGACTGGAATTGATCGCTCAGCAGAATTTTCAAGAAACGGCGGACGCGCATACGATGCGTTGACATGATACACGCGAGGCAGTGGCTAGACACCAAGCGTTAATTTGTTAATTTCTTAGGCCGTACTTTCACCTGTGTCACTAGCTAAGTATAAGCGCGACAGATAAGCGACATGCATGTCGCATACCTTCGGCAAGGGCGACGGCGTCCCCGATTTGATTTGCAGTGAGCTCATGAGATCTGTAGGTAGAGATAAATATGAATCAGCAATCGCCAAGGTCTGCATTGGTGCCTTGTTCCGCATGGTGTCTTAGTTACTCAAAATATAAACTTCCGCTAGACATACAGCTACCTCTTCGAGTGGCATTACAGCCTTGTGGATACGAATCAATTGATATCACGTATTCAGGAGCGGTCAAATATGCAAGATGTGTTCACAGAGAGGAAATTCATAGTATCAGGGGCACCTCTGGGCGTATATATTCGTACACTACAATTCAGACCCTCTACATACCAGCCAGCATAACACCTTAACTCCTAAATGAAAGCCTCTAGTAAATATACATGCCAGACCTCCCACATATTAGCAAGGCCATTTCTTAACTCTAATCCTGGACCTTAAACTCTAGCTTTTAATCAACGATACAATTCAGACATTCCACATACCCGCAAGGACAGCGTTGTGCAATTGCGGGTACTTCAGTTTCCTCTCTCGATATAACATATATGTGGCATAGGGATCGTCAAACCGATCGGTGGATACGGAGTCGAGCACATCCGACGCTTTGTAGCCTGAAGATTCCATTAGTTGTAGTATTTCCTGGTCTAAATTTAGCAGAGCTTCCTAATATGCAAGGAGAGTTTGTAGTGTATCTTGGTCGAGATTCAGTAGAGTGTTTACCAAAGAACAAACAAATCAATGTGTTAGAAAACAAAGCTAGAAAACATCGCAGCACTATGATATCCGGCAAATATTTGTGACATGAAATCACACTTATTGTTTTTCTTTATAACTATGCTACACGACTACAGTGCAATATAGTACATACTAATACTCTTACTTTATTCGTTCCGGGAATGCCTTCAGCTCCCCCCGACACATCCCTAATCCATTCCGACATGACACAGTCTTTGATGGTACACCGCCTGTATCGGTCAGGCTGTAAACATCCGCGTATCAGACTCTGGCAATCTGCAGAATGGCAAAAGGCCAGGTGAAATGATTTTTAATGCTGGATTATCGCCGGCAGTCGGGTCCAGGGTGAATACAGCTTCTTGACGTAAGTCACAGCGAATGTCTAAAGCCACCAGATTGACAGATCGAGTTCTTTAAGCAACGGGACGCATTGGGCAAGACTCGCAACCGGTGTATGAGAATTCTCATCATAAATTTTACATCGAAATAGATAGGACCCTTCAATGAAAACGCGTACTATCTCGATCTAATATTTGTAAACCGAGCAATCGTGCATGCAATGAAGCCACAGTAGCAAGCACATACGTATAGATATATCATCATCCATAGTATATCGCCCTTCAGTCGCTGCCGACGCATTCTCGAACGGCAGAATACCCGAGACCACAGTGTATACCATCACACCCAAAGCCCAAATGTCCGGCTGTGAGTAGTGACACAAGTTACAGGTAGTAACACGTCAGAATTTGATGAGTGCATTCGCTAAGGATATGTACAGGTACACTTATATTTGATAGTTCAGATATCTGGCTGTGAGTATCCAGCATAAGGCAGATGACTATAATGGCTGTCAAATATATACGAAGAAGAAATTCTACAGCCAGATACGTGTCTGTGAGTAGATCTCACGAGAGCAAGACACCAGTAACCTTACATGTGATATTTCATATATTGCATAACAATATATGACAATGTGATACCAGATATCCGGTTGTGAGTAGTGTGGCAACCAGACACAGGCATTAAATACATATAAACAAGCAGACACATAAT